ACCACCACCACCACCAACAACAACAACAACAAAATGGTGAATGTGAAGATCCAGGCAGTTGGCACAGAGATTGCTAATATTACTCTATTTGGGAGACTCTTACTGTCTTTTAATAGAGGAGCCAGGTATGGTGATGCATGCCTGTAATTCTAGCACTTGGGAGGCTAAGGTAGGAGGACTGCCATGAGTTCTGGAATCCAGACAGGGCTATATACAAGTTCAAGGACAGCTTGAACTGCCTAGCCCTAGTGAGACCCTGTCACAAACAAACAAACCAAAACAAAAAATAGTGGAAAAATAAAGTGTTCATACTACCCAAAGCAATCTACAAATTCAATGTAATCCCTATCAAAATACCAATAATATTTAGAACTAGAAAAAAAAATCCTAAAATTCATAAGTCATAAAAAAATAAAAAGCCAAAGCCATCTTGAACAGAAAGAATAAAGCACGACGCATTATGTTACCTAACTTCAAAATATGGTACAAAGCTATAGTAATCAAATGGAACAGAGCAGAGAGCTTATAAATAAGATCATGCTGCTACAGTAAAATGATCTTCAGCAAAGGTGCTAAGAACACGTATTAGGGAAAGGGCAGTCTCTTCAATAAATGTTCTGGGTAAATGGGATGGTTACATGCATAAGAATGAAACTCTAGACCCCTATCTTACCACAGAAAAAAATAAATCAAAACTAAATGGATTAAAGCAGGGGTCCCCAAGTCCCTGCCATGGACGAATACTTGTTATACTGTTAGGAATCAGGCCATAGAGCAGGAAGTGAGCAGTGGGTGAGAGAGAGCAAAGCTTCACCTATATTTACAACTATTCCTCACTGTCTTCATTACCACCTGAGCTCTGCCTCCTATCAGATCAGCAGCAGCATTAGATCCTCATAAGACAGCAAACCCTACCGTGAACTGTGTATGATCTAGGCTGAGTAATTTTTTTTTGGAGGGGGTACTGGGGATCGAACTCAGGTCCTTGCACTTGCAAGGCAGGCAGCGGAATCACTAAGCTAAACCCTGGCCCTAGGCTGAGTAATTCTCATGAAAATCTAATGCCTGATGATTTGAGGTGGAGCTGAGACGGTTATGCTAGCACAAGTGAGAAGCTGCAAATACAGATTAATATTAGCAGAGAGATTTGACTGTGCACAGACAATAATTAATTGCTTGGAGACTCATCAAAATTCTTTCAGTGAGTGGCAAGTGACAAACTACATCTAGTGGCAGGCTTTATGGTAGCAAGTAAGTACACGGACTTCAACTATACAGCTGCATCTGGTAACAGGCTTTAAGTCAGAATCTGCCACTTATTTTAGTCTATGACATTTTGTACTTCATCTTAGCCAAAAGGCTGAGAAGCAATGCGTGCCACTTATTTTAGTTTATGTACCCATTATTTTATTTACCTCTTCCATCTGCACCTCTTCCCACACTGCTTACTTGTCTTAGTTTTAGTAACCCCAAAAGCTAACCCCAGCAAAAACGAATAAAAAACAAATATCACTGGTGAGCATCTTTGGAAAGGATGAAACAGGGATGAGTTGGTGGAATACTCTAAGTGCCAACAAAAAGAAACCTGCACCAGGCAAAGAGAAATTCTTGGACCTTGCTGTTTTCCCCTGATCTACAGACCTGACCCAGCTAATCAAAATCAGCTAATAGCAGAACATGAAGCTTTTGACTTTTAAATTATTAAAGGAGGGCCAGGGATTTAGCTCAGTGGTTCCGCCGCCTACCTCACAAGCACAAGGCCCTGAGTTCGATCCCTGGTACCCAAAAATAAATAAAACAATTAAAGGAATTTTAACAAGTGTATTGAATAATAGAGACCCTTAGGTTTGGAGAGACTGCTAAATGAGACTCCTCTTAGTGAATAAAGGAATAACTGCTCAGAAAATAATTATTCTTGTCTTTGTTCACTGAGAGCCCCAGTAATTTTCATAGCCTTATGGGAGACACACCCCAATAAACACTGCTTAAATGTTATTATAAAATGCATTGGTTAACATTAAAGGGTTAAATTCTTTAAAAAAAAAAGCTGCATTGAAAAGACAACACTAGCAGTCCTACTTAAATTATCAGTTCATTGCAACTGCATTGAGAGTATCGTTCTTAGGGGTTAACTATATTGCTAAAGCTAAGAACTCCTTTACTGCTACTGGTAAAGAGTTGATCTTGCCTACCACTAAGGACATTTGTTGTGAACTTTTAGGAGAGGCTGCAGTTCAAAAGGTGGGACACGTTCCTCTTCTGGCCAGCACCATAACTAGACAGACTGATGGAACAGCAGAGGCTACTGAGGCACAATCGTTAGAGAAGATTAATGAGTCACTGCGGTATTCAATCCAAGTTCACAAGTCTACTGATGCTGACAAGGCAACAATGCTTGTTTTTGTCCAGTATATTTTTCAGGAGGATGCCCATAATATGCTATGTGCACGTTTTTTTTGTTTCCACTGCATTTATTACTAATACTAAAAAAAAGTTTTTAAAAAATGTATTCTCAAAAAAAATGTATTCTAAAAAAAAAATGTATTCTCAGTTCTCCAAAGGTTCTTGTCCCTCCCTGTAGCCCACATCTAACTTATTTCCTAAGGGACAACTCAAAAGTGAACCCATTCAATGTCATTTTCACAGAAAACCAGTGCATGGATGTGAGGGAAGAGGATCAGAAGAAAGCAACAGTATTGTCGAGCTTCCACCCAAAGACAGGCCAGGAAGAGACTGACAGAATTCAAATGATAGGGCTGGTGTCCTCACAATGACAGTCTAACTAAAACAGGCTGGAAAGAAGCTAGGTAGGGAGATCTATCTGAGGCTTCAAAAGACATCACTGGCCTGTACTAGACTGGGAATAACTGAGATGGAGAATAGGGAGATAGTCTGTGGAAAGTTTCACAATTCTCCCACACTGGTTTATGGGGATAATCTAGAGGGCACCAAAAGCTTTGCTGATTTTGGCAGAAAATTTTATTCTAATACATACTGGGAAGTCAAAAAATACCATAAAGAAAGGCTACAAGGGGCTGGGTGTGGTAGCACATGCCTATAATCCCATCATTCAAGAGGCTGAGGCAAGAGGATTGCGACGAGTTTAAGGACTGCCTGGGCTATATGATGAGTTCAATGCCAGCCTGGACTACAAAGCAAGACCCTGTCTTACCTCCCACTCCCAAAAGAAGGAAAGGCTACAAGGGGGCACACAGATTCACAAAACAGTTATCACAGACCACAGCAGTGGGCATCATGTTAGTGACAGAGAAACTATAAAATCTAAAAGCAGGAGGGTGGCCTTTCAGGGAGCATCTCTGCACCAGTCACCCAAACTTTACCTCAGGTCAGATAACATAGGGAGTTGCCTGAGTGGCTGAAAACATTGAGGTGTCACAAAAACAAAAACAAAACAAACAAACAAAAACTTAAAGCAAGCAGCCAGGGAAGGGAGGAAACTGCTCCTTTGCTCTCAGTAACTGAGGGCAATACTGAGGGCCACATGGACAGATGCACAAGAAATAACACCAAAAGGCTGGGGATTTAGCTCAGTGGATCTGCCACCTGCCTCACAGGACCCGAGTTCGATCCTCAGAGCCAAAAAAAAAAAAAAAGAGAGAAATAGCACCAAAAGTTTCCTTTTCAGCAGTCATTTGACAAAGGGGATCCAGGAGGCAGTCAAAGGGAGTATGATGGGGTCCTGAGGGTGTGTATGGAGGCTGGATCAGAAGACAAAACAATTCTGGGCCCTACACAGGTGAGTTGATATGTCACTGCCTGAGGATGGATGGCAGAGCTTCATAGTAGACATCATGGGGTGCAGGGAAATACATAGCTGGTAGGTCACAGAAGACTCCTTTTACCTGGCTGGTAAAAGGTACAGAATTCTTCAGTGACAATGACCCTTTAAGGAAAAGTGTTGGCAAACAAGGCAGTTAACACTGTATTCCATAACCTGGGGGTCCTATCTTTAGGTGGTGAGGTATTCTTTTTTTTTTTTGGTAGCAGGGATCAAACTTGGGCCCTTGCGCTTCTGAGGCAGGCGGTGAAACCACTGAGCCAAATCCCTGGCCAGGTATTCTTGATAAAAGACCAGCTTTTGAGCTTCTGAGGATTCTCTGTCCTCTAGAGGGACCCCCATGGCCTAGCCACAGAAAGGGAAGTTCAGAATTGACTCCCCAACCGTGACTATATGGGCTAGGCCTGGGGCCAAGGCCCCCCCACACTGGGTCTCTACCACTGGGAGGAAGTGCGAGACTCAGCACTGATGGAATCATTGGTCCCTTGGTCCTGGAGAACCTCTATGAAGAGCTGACTTGGGGGTCACCAACTTTCCATTGGCAATGGGGGACAGGCCCAGAAGGCTGAGAGGTCCGATGAGACTCTCATTTTCTTCATCTCCAGTCTTTTTCTGCTCAGGCAGTGGGGGCTCCTATG